GCTGGGAATTCCATCAAATGTTTACACGGCCCAGAACCCGGAGTGGAAAAGTCAGAGTCGCTCCGAGACACACACAAACCCCCTGGGAGACACAGAACCCCCATGTCCTGGGGGAAGAGGGGCACGGAGACTCCTGCAGTCAGGGACAACAACTGGGTGACAAGGAATTTCTGGTGATCTCTTAACGCTGCCCGCAGAGTTGGTCTTGGATGGAAACACTCCTGGTAACTGCTTAAAAGCGTTACTGACATGTGTCAAGTGACAGTTTGTGGCTCCTGTTCTTGCTCTGCTGGACCTGCCCTGGACCATTTTGGACAGAAGGTGTAGCTTCGAATTAGACTTGTATATACAAATTTAGAGGCAGGAGAGGAAAAGGAAAAGAGCTCTGCATCGTAGAGGGTGCCTGTGCCTTTACAGATAAGGATGGTTAATGCAAACCATGGCCCCGTATCTGAGCAGGTAGGACACCAAAGCAACCCCAGCCCAGCCAGACTACAGGCTGCTGGAGTCCTGAGCTCCTCAGGCACACGGCACTAACTCACACCAAGTCTCACGGGAGCTGTGCTCTTAGCAAGGGATTGCCTTTTGTGTTTGGTTTTGTTGTTTTTTTTTTTACATCACGGGCAGAATTTCAGTCCAACCTAAAAATAGCACTCCCTGCACCTTGAAATTAAATACTGACATTTAGATGTGCAACCATGCTTTGCACAGCAGACTGATAGCAAGTGAAGGCAGCCCAGAACAGTGAGTCAGTGCAGGGAGGAGGGCAGTTCAGCAAATGACTCATTATATTAGAAATTAAAGGCTGTTAACCTACTGGTCAAAATTAGCTCATTTACTGTATATCAGAAAAATGAAGGCCCAGCAGGCTGGACCCTGACAATTATGTGCAGAGTTTTTTCAAACGATGAATTCCAATGTTATTTTTTTAGGCCTTTTCAGTACATTAGACATCAAGCACTGCTTCGCCTTTAAGTGTTTAAAACAGAATTGGGAGGAGAGCAGAGATTATCAACAACACACTTCCTCTTCACAACAGCAGCATTTGTTATTTATACAACCCTTGCATCTGCACCACCCCAGCCCAAGGTTGAAAATCATGCATTTCCAGTCCCTTCCCTTTCCCACAGTGCTCTCCCTCCTTCAGTGTGTCAGTACACACTGATCCAGGTTAAAAATAAAGTTTCCTGATACTGTGTACCAAAAAGTATGCAATTGCACAACTCCTCGCAAAATGCTTATCGCCTCATTGGGATTTTGGATGTCATCAACTCCAGAGGCAACCAGGGGTAGTGTTTCCTCATGAATCAGCGACAGACAGAAGGACACACCTATGAGACCACAGTGTTGTCACTGGTTTGTTTTAAATACTGGGTGATTATGTCGCAATTTTTCCTCCCAGATTTCAGTAAATAAGATTGCTCTGCATAAAACACCCGCAGGGAAAAGAATGCTGAAACACTGCAGAGACATCAGCCACAGTTACGTCCCATCTCTCTGACCAGATCGTTCAAACTGATTATCTGCAGAGAACATCTCGGCTGTCTGAACACAGCTCTTGGGTGCTCAGGGTTTCAGTGGCATCTCACACCCAGTTCGGATGAACTGAAACGCACCAGGCGGTTCAGAAGTGAGGTTTCACACGCAGGAGTGGGAGGGCAGCGCTGCAGGAGTTTTCTATCTGTGCTGTGTCTGCTTTGGCACTATTTGTCATCTTTGCTGGAAGCATCTACAGCCTCAGCCAAAATATCCTGGGTGAAATCACTGCATGGAAGTCAAAACACCACGTACTTGAATACGACCAAGGTTTCACAGATTTCATACCATGTCACAAAATTTAGGCTGGAAAAATACCCAGGACAAAAGCCAGCTTCCCCATGCTTTATACACAAACATGCACATAGTCCTTCTTAGCCTACAGATGGTATTTTTGACTACACGCTTTTTTTTCTTGGATTCAGCTTGGCAGTATGTAACACATCACACCACAGAAGATGCAGCGTTAGTACGAGTTTAGTTCTGCTGCAGCACTTCAGCTGCAGCACCTTTATTTATAAAACAACTGAACAAAAAAAAAATTATGAAATCATTGATTCAAAGGAATCAATAATAAATATTTGCTTTCCTCTGAGTTGTTCAGACACAGTACAGGTACACCAATTGTAGCAGGTAGAAGAGACGTAAGCTTAGTTTAGCTGCTGAGAATCAAAAGAAAGCTACATAACATCATACGCATTTAACCACACTAGTAATAACGGGTACATGACAGTAAATGCTTTAAGTACACTATTTTACAAAATAGAGTTTGGCTTATGGTTCATTTGCTTCCCTTGTGCAACTCCTGTAGCGTAATTCAGAGCTCAAAACACGTCCCTTTGAAAACAGAATCCCTCTGAAGCGATGTCTTTCTCGTATTTCCTTTGAGTAACGAACTTTTCCCTTCGGGCTTCACGCTAGCGACTGAAGCGCAGAACTGACTGTGTGTTCACCTGTGAGATCACTGATGCAGGGTCTGAAAAGCCTTTCAGGCTTACTAATTCTGAATCACCATGGCACCCACACTTTTTAACCAGGGTCACACAACTTTGTTCCATGGCAAGAGATGGTGCTTTTTATTATTTATTTTTTTTTTGCTAGGAGCAGGCTGGGCAAATTCTCCTAGCCAGCAGCAAGTGGCCTCCAGGGCTACAGACAGAGCATCCTCCTCTCTGCTAATTGCAAGTCTGGCCTGTGACTCAAAGCTAACCTGGAGCGTTTGGCACTTGGAGTGTAGCCAGCTCCAGTGTTGGAATTGTTACCCTTATTTTTTGGTAATGAGCTTCTGGTTGCTCAGGCATGTGCTCCTCACCAAAAAAAGCTCTCCTGGTTTTATGTGCATAGAGTAAGTATCCTCTGACGCAACACAGGTAACATTAAGCACAATAAACAACTGTAGAAGAAGCCACAAAGTACTCGAGCAGTACTGCCCCTGCTCTTGGGGCTTCCCCAGCTCTGGAGCACCTTGTAAGAGCTTTGCAGTGCCTAAAGCCTTCGGGATCCAAGAGAAGAGCAACTACAGAAGAATCACAGACACTTCCAGCTGCTGCTTCCACGCAGTGACAGCCACTACGAAACCCACCAAAACGCAGCTGATCCAGGAACTTGCCTCTGCAGTATCCCAGGCAACTCGAAGTAAAAATGACACGGTGTCCAACACCAGCAGCTGTCACAAAAGTAGCACCTTAGCAAACACTTCATACCAGATGTATTCAGTTCTCCGGCAGTATAGGGCAAGAGTGAAAACTATTTCCCATAAGGAAGTAGCCCAAGCAGGGCTTGGCTTGGATCATATCATCTAACATCTCAGGCGAAGCAGCTAGAATTCTGGGTCTCAGTCAGAGGAGGAGATTAATTACAGCCCCTGGATTGCAAAGAATTACACATCTGTGGTTCTTCTGTGCTGATTCATCTCCTGTAGACTCATTCCACAAATTGGAGAAAACCCTCCCTTCAAATGAAAAACATCACCTCATTTTTTTTTCTTTTAAATAGAAAAACATCAGTCCAGGAATACAGAAATCTAGAACCTACAAGAAGCTCAGTGTCTTACGTGTAGCAGGGGTCAGAGCAAAATCCTTCAGAGGAAAATATAAATGACAGAACGATGTGAGCATCTGCCTCCAGAGGAAGCCTGTCCCTACTTCCCATTGTTTCCTATTGGCCTTCAACTTGAGGTGTAACAGCCTATATTCCTTGAAAATGTTTATTCTGGTTAATTTAATCACAGAAAACACTTTTATGATTCTTGAAATTTTTTAAGAGTCTTGGCAAGGTTTAACAACAGCATGTGGCCCAGCATTTGGTGTATAAGTGGGACAGTGTACACAAGTATTTTCTAACAGAAGCAGCTTTGAGCTCATTTACCGGTCCCTGGTGTGCTTTCCTCACCACGTGCTCCATCACTCTCTCCTTCAGCCTTACCTGGATGCCTGAAGGTCAGCTCAAGAATGCTGCTTGTTCAGTCTTGGGAAGAGCTCTCAGTAAGTCTTCTACAGCACAGCTCACACCAAAACTGGTGAATTCACAACTGTCAATAGCAAAGGTATCTTCCAAATGCTTCATCCAGGCTTTTTTTTTGGTAGATTAGTGGCCCTCACTTGCTGAGGTACATCCTTCATTCTGGATTCAGTGCCCAATTCTCATCACGCCAAGGCTCATCTGCCCCAGATACCACTCCTCAAAAGCAGAGTCAGGCTCCTGGCTGTATCTTTCTAGATGCATCACTAAGTTTTATTCTGGCAGTTAAAGCACCTGTTTTCCTTGTCATAAAGGGTCCTTTTGCTTCAGTACAGAGGTTGGTTCAGCCACATGCCTTAATACTGCATCTCTCAACATGCCTTAATGCTGCATCTCTCACCCTTTTTGAGTGGTTCCTTCATTCGTTGCAGCCTCCAAAAGTATTTCACTAGGAGGCTGAATGCAGAAAACACAAAGCACCTGTCAGTTCCCTTTGAGGTTGAACACCAGACTGCCCTCAGCAGAGAGTCTGCCAGAAAATCTCCGGATGAGACAATGCATCTTCAGGAAAGTTCTCCCAAAACCAGTACAAGAGACTTTTCCGTTCCCACAAAACCTCTTTGGAATATTCTGCGTCTTTATGTCTCTGTTGATCCCTTTTACAAAATCCTGAGATTTGGCTTCGTTTCATTTGTACAGTGCTTAGCTGCTGTAGTTTTAAAATGCTCAGTGTTCCATTTCCAAAAAAAGATAATTTAAAAAGGTGGCTCCCTTTTCCCTCCAATGTATCTTTCTTAAAAAAAAAAAATAAATTCTGTATCAGAACCTCAGTGCTGGAAGATGTAAGAAAGAGTTGAGTGGGAGGGTTTCGTGGTGTGAATAATCACAAGTGATTGAAATTAAGCTGACCAGGAAGATAACTAGCTAATCTAGCAATTTCTACGTGGCTGGTGGTATGTGAAGTGTTTCTGGACAGCAGGAGTCTCCAGACAGCTCGTGAGCAGTCACACTGTCTGGAACGCTCGGCTTTGGGCAGGCACCATGACCAGCGTTGCTCCCATTTTCATCAAGTTAGCGTAGTCGACTTTATTTGGCTCAATTTCTTTTCCTCCCGTCTCCCTCTGGCTGTACTGGGGAGGAGTTAGGTGGGGAGTAGCTTCCGTGGACAAAGTCCGTTGGCTGCGAGAGGCACTGTTGGCTGTCGACCTCGTTGAGGAGGAACCTGAGCGCGAGCTCCTGGAACCCGAGGAAGAGGAACTGGGCTTCACAAGATGGGCCTTGGGTGCCTCTGCATCTTCTCTGCAATCAAACAGATAATGGGGCTCAGATACCACGAGAACAGAAACATTCAAACACTTTAGAGACCGAGCTGCTGCTGCAATAACCAGTTGCTTACTGAAGCTGCAAGTCACCAGGGCGTCTCTGTCCAGCAGTTTGGGCAAGGGACAGGGTTTTCCAAATTCTGCACTATGTAACTCTGTGGACTGAACTCCCTACTGGCTCTGCGGAGCTATCGGTCAAGTGGATTTATAATACTTGCTGCACACGACTGGCTTTTTGTGTGCGGCTTTGAGGCCTGTGGAACGAATGCCAAGTGTCAGTGTAAACAGTTCAGATAGAACTGGCCGCTCTGTAATCCTTACTAATAATGATTAATGACCTAGACAGGACTAGCTGAGACCCATTCTTCTAGTTCAGCAAAAAAAAAATAAAAATGTAAGAAGTGTGAGAACAAGGCCCAGAAAGAGAAGAGGTAACTATCATGCATGAAAAAGGTAATACAAGAGGCTGAAGCTCAAACTAAGAATAAAATGGCATGCAAGACTTGAAAGCAAAGAACAGGAAAAAGGGAACGGAAGAAATCAGCAGAGACTACTTTCTTGCTGGCAGCCTCACCATCAGGCAGAGTGATCAGCTCCTACACAGGTTACAGAGATGCCTGATGATACACACACCTTGCAGGAGGGCAGGCCGTCTTTTACACATAGATGGATCAAGACAAGGCATTTCCTCAAGGGCAGGAGCAGCTGAAACTCATTCCTGGGAATATTTTTTTTCCAGTACTTTCCTTCCTAACAAGTTTAGGCTCGATTGGCTGGAGACCAGTCTCTGCTGAGGGGAGCTGAGTGACAGACCTTGCACACACGTAACAGATGAGTTCAAAGAACATGCGTCAGCATTCTTGGTACACCCGCTCAGGGTGAGGCTTCTTAACTGCCCACACAGCAGCTCAGGGGGATTTTTCACCCTGAGCTAAATCCAGAAGCACAGTTGTTCAAAAGACTCAAGAAAGACCGTGAGAACCTGCCTGCCCGGTGGCATTCTTAAGAGAAACTGCAATTCAAAAGAAGACCAAAAAAACCACCTCAAAGGACCACAATGGGCAAGAAGGGTTGACTTTAGTACTAGAGAAGATTAGGCAGATGATTTAAAATGCTGGAATTGCAAGTGAGAGAGAGAATATTTTGCTGAGTTTCATGCTAATTTGTCCTGGAGAGGGGAAAAAAAAAACCAACACCAAACATTGTCATCTATCTAATTTTCAAGGAAAGTGTTCACAAAGATTCTCACTGTCAAGAAATTTGTCACTGATAATTCAGGGAAACTTTTAGAACTACCTTTTAAGACGCTTACACCTTAAGGTTACTTAAAACTACAGTGAAAAGATGTGTGAAATGAAAAGAAGAGAGGGTGAGCCATTAAAAGGCGTTACCTGATTTCATTCGGTGCCTCCTCTTCCTCGTATCTCTTTTTTTCTTTCCTCCTTATTGTCAGCCTCACCACCAGGAAAAAGAGGGAAAGTCCCACCACCACACCACAAACTGCTCCAGCGATCATGCTAATATTTTGTGCATCTGTTGCCCAGGAAACAAATGTGTTGGTAAACTCGCACTAGGGTCAGACAGTCAGATTCTAGTTCACACTGCAATTTACAGAACTGGGTATATATCAGAGCAGAATGCACCAGTCTACTTATTTAGGCATTTCTCCACACAGAAGTTGAACCACTTGATCTTCAGGCATTGTTTCTAAATGTGAGCTAACTGTGTGAAAAGTATTCATCTCTGGAAGGGTGGGACCACAAGTGCTATGCTTTCAGCTGTCGGTCAGAATGGAAATGAGTAGGAAAAATCCTCTTACGAGAGCACAGAACCATAGAAAGTAGAGACAGGACAACCCACACTTGAAACAAAGCATCAAGCAGTTCCCTAGAGGCAGAACGGTGTTTGAACTATGAATGTTTCCCCATGAGGACTTTTTTCCCCTTCAGCTTATACTGAAATGATTACAGTCCACTTGCAGAATTAATTATTCAATTGGGGAAAACAGTGGCCTGAAGGGGGATTAGAGAGGAAGGAGGAAATGAAGGCCATACTGTGCATGTAGAGAGCATTTTTCACCCAAAATAACAAAGTTAATGACAGAACACTTCCTTTGTTGATAATTTTGATGAGTGGTTAGGTTGGGTTTGACTGAAAGTTGTCTCCTTCAAGCTCACCCTACGGAGGGTTTAGCAAAGCAAAGAAAGATCTTAAACCAATTCAGTTCAATTGGCATCAAAGCTGCCTGGACGCTTTTACTTCAGGTGCCTGAGGCAAAGAGGTTTTCCTTGCTACGTGGCCACATTCCAGCCATTTCAGGCCTGGCTGGCCAGAAAAATTCCAAAGCTACGGAATCTCTAAAAAGAGACTTCTCTATTGGCAGTCTTCTATCACAGCAGTTTCAGCTCCTGCTAATCTCCCCAGGGAGCTGCATATAAACCCAAGCTAAACTGTATTGTTTGGATTTTTCCGCAGTGCTGGTGCTAAACTCCACCCTTTTCCTTGCATGCACATGCAAAGGACGTGCGAATACTCCTTACATGCCAACACTTACGCTGCACTGTCACCTGAACCACGCAGCTTTCCTGTCCAGCCTCGTTGGTGGCGATGCATTGGTACAACCCTGTGCTCATCTGCGTGAGGTTCTTCAGTAAGACTTGCCCAGGATTGGAAATGTCTGAAACAGGGAAAACAACACCGGGATTAATCAAAAAAGACTAAGAAACCTTAACAGTGGGTAGGGCACAGAAGCACAAATTGAATTTCTGAACCAAACCAGTTCAAGAACATTCAGGAATGTCTCACAAGAGACCATTTGTCAGTCTTTAGCGAAACACTACCCAAGCTCCTCATGCATTTCCTTGCTCAGGGTGGAGCACAGCAGCTGCAGCAGCCAGTACTGTTCCACTGCTGCTCTCCCTGCCACCAAGGGATCCCCATTTTGGGGCAGTTGTCTGGCTGAGAGTGCACCGAGGGCTCTCGGAGGACGTGACCTGACTTACTGACTCTCGATGTAGGCGGGAGGTGTTCAGCTCTCTCATCTTCCTCATTTATGCGCTGCCATCGGTAGGAGATGGGTGCAGTGCCGGAGGCAGACCGGCACTGCAAGGACAGTTCCTTTCCCTCCAGCAGCTCTCCTTCTAGCCAGCATTTGGGCTTGGAAGGTTTTTCTAGAAAAAACAGAAGACAGGTCACACAAATGCAGCACGCAATTTCCTCAGCAGAAGCCCTTTTTTGGCAAAGTAAGTAATTTAAGCAGCTTCCAAGAGTTGCCTTCTCTAGAATGCATTAAGGAATCACACCAGTGATGTCTATTAGGGGACTTGAGCTGTAACTGTGTGCAACTTCATAGTCTAAAAAGTGGAGCTGGCTGGCTCAGACACAGAAGTGACACGTTATACTACTCTGGGGCAGTTTGCCTCATGGACACTTGAATCAGTGGAGCCATATCACTGCATTCCTTTTCTAGGTACTATTTAGAGAACATCCTTTCCCTCCCCCCTTCTTCTCCATTTCTTTTCTCCCCACAGCCTCTGGCAAGGCCACAGCATTTCTTCCACAGGATGACAGTGTACATGAAAAAGGCAACCAATAAACTGAAATGAAGGAAGAGAAATGCTAACCTCGGCAGCTTGTCACCTCCACTGACTTGGATCAGTGTGGCGTCCTGGGACCTGAACCCAGAGTCCTCAGCAGGAGATCTGGGCAAGGCAATCACCAGCTACGCTAGAATATCAGCCTAATTTGTGTGATGAGATCAGAGATAATTTGGGAAGAACAGTTCATATGATTTTGCAGGTGATCATACTTACCTCGAAACAGTTATCTGGGCTCTTCCTGTGTCCTGTCCTTTGCCACAAAATGCAAAGGTAGACATGGCGTCAGAGAGGGAAACCTGATCGTGAAATGTCTTTGTATTTATATATACCCCGCTGAAATGAATCTCTCTCCAGGAAATGAGTCTAGTGATTTGTTTTTAATTTGGAAGAACAATAAAATGACCTTACCTACAACCTTCAGAGTGATGCGAGCCCATTCATACTGGCCAGCGTTTTTAACCTTACATATGTACTTCCCTGCATCGCTGGACTGCAGGGATATGATCTGTAAGGATGCATCTCCAGCAAGGAAGTTGGATGTGAAAGAAACACGCCCCTTCTGTTCCTCATTCAGGTCATCATAAACACGGCCTCCAGAGTAAGTGATCACCTAAGGAGCAGACACAGCCACTGATCAGCCAGTTGTAACTTGGCTTTCACACGGTGTCTTTAAACCAATGGCTCCTACAGATGTCAGCGTAGAAGCGAGACGATTTTCTCAACAGATGCAAACCATGGCTGAACCTACCGCTTTTTGTACTGTTTCGGAAATGTGCAGCAGCCACTCAATATCCAGGCTCCCTTGCTCCAGGAGGCCCAGGCGGTGGTGACAGGGCAAAGTCACGTTTTCTTCAGCCACTCTCTTAAATTCAGTCTGAGCCTCAGACAGCCAAACAGAACAGGAAGCTGAAAGACAGATGCCGGCGGTCAGAAGCCAGGATCTGCACCCCACAACATGTTGCTAGTTTAGGTTTCCCTGGATTCTTCCTCAGTTGTTTCATAGCAAAGAAAATCCAGCAGCTTGCAGCTGATTAAAGGGGACATCTATAGATGCACAGGCAGAGAGTTTCACACTAATATTTAAGCATGAAGAACAGATGGCTTCACACTCCAGAGCTATCAGTACTAAAGTCACACCCACACTCACTGTGCATTCAAAATTTCGAAAAATCTCTCTGGTTTAGCCTTCACCTTTTATTACCTTAATTCATAAGCAGTATTTCCACCCAGAAGACCTTCAGAGCCCATGGCTCTAATCCTATGTCAGTCTGACAAGGCTTGGAGTCTCTTCCCTAACACTAGGTGATGGCTGTTGTGTGCATTGCAGCACAAGAAATAAAATCTGCCTGGAAACAAGAGGGTTAACCTTAAGAAAGGCACAGTACAATTAGGTTTCTGAAGAGTCTTTGAATAGCAACGTAAAAAAAAACCCCAAACCAGAAGTTGTCAAAGACAGCTTGTTAAGATTTAAAAAGAGGTAAGAAATTGGTAAGCCACTAGAGGGAAGCAGAGCCTCTTACATGTGAGTAAATCCCCCAAAAGCACGTTAACTACCCAAAACCTGGACCAGGAAACAGTCCAGGGCAGAAAACTACAATGTTAAACCAGCGCTGCGTTAGGTATAGGGAAACTCGCGATTTCTTTCCTAGTTTTTGCCTATACTGCATCCCTGTTAAAACTGAACAAAATCAGGGGTGAATTCTCACCTTTGCCCACCTCTGTCTTTTGGTAACACATGGACTCGCCACAGTAAATTCAAACTCAGTTAAAACCAACACTAAAGAGGAGACATATGAAATATCTTCCTTCTTAAACAAATTATTATGAAACTGATGAAAACTGCAAGAGTTGGCAGCACTAGGAAGTCACACATGATGGAAAACACAATCCTGTGACTACATAACAAGATTACTGGCAAGAGCATAGGAAACTCCAGTTACACCGGCTGACTTTGTTCCTATATTGTATTTAAACAGTGAATCTTGAACTTTCTCTTTAAGTAGGAAGAAAAAACCAACAAAAACACCACAGAAAAAATTACATTCCGCAGGACACTTCCTCAGCTTTTTTTGTTTCTTCAGGACCAAGTCTGGTTTTGGGAAAATTGTTCTGTTCTTGCTCCCATTCTCAGATCTGCCTTCGAGTCTTTAGCATGACCCTCCCTCAGCTCCTGAGCTTCTGATATTTAATCAATACTTGCCAAGCACCCCTATAAAAGGTATCATCTACTATGTGCATGCACACATATGATACACTTGGAACTTTAAGACAGGTGGAGTCTTGCAAAGAATTAAGTTCTCATCCCCAACAGGGTCACTGCAGGAACTGATTCAAGAGGGAAAGCTCCTTTTCAGCCACATTAGCTGCTTTTTCTTTTTCTAAGGTGAAAGTAGTCCAGTTTATCACTGGATTCACTAGTCCCAAATGTCCATCTGCCAAATACAATTATACAATCTGCCCAAGATGAACGCCTGCTTTCCCCTACAGCCCACATCGCTGCGGGCTGCCTTCATTAACACGCTGCCACTCGTTGGATCTACTGATCAATAACTTTAATTTAAGCACCACAATAGTGAGCATTCACATAACATTTGCAGCACCTTCAAAGAGCCGGGCCAGTGGAGCACTGAGGTTTTGTGCACACCTCACAGGGTATTCTACGTTTTAAAATGTAGTTTTACATTCAAAGCCTTGACGAGGGTTATAAATTACATTTTGAGGGAGTATAACAAGTATCGGATCCAAGAGCCTGCCTCAGTGATGCCACATGTATGCAGGCTCCGCAGTTCTTCCCCAACAAAACTCTTTTCCCCTTCCACATCCTGTGGAATTGCTTCTTTCCATGTTACTCAGGCCTTACTCAGCCGACAGCCCACGACTTCAGAGGTTTGGTTTGTTTTTCCGGCAAAGCACGAACCCAAAGCTTATTGCGACGGCAGTGGTTTGGAAGCTTTGGCCCTGGGCCTGAGAAAAAAACCCTCTGGGTGCTGCGCCAGGCGCGCTGACACACCACAGGCACCGCCATGGCGCGTATTCGGGGGGGAGGAGACTGTTGTAACGTTTGCTCTATTGTTCAGAAGACAATAACTCACCCAACACCCTGCCGACAAGCGAGGAAGATTGTCTTTCATACCGCACTGATGTTTTCAATATCCAACAAATACAGAACAACAAATATTTGAGACAATACCAAAAACGAGTACGGGGTTACGAGGGGAAGGCATTTCTGCCTCGCTGGCATAGCCGATTTCGAAAACAGAAATGTGAACAATACCCATGCAGAGATACAAAAGTACTTCCCAGAACTCCAAGATTTTGAAAGGACTCCTGATTTCGAATGTACACTACAAAAGGGGTTTGAATTTCAGAAAACTCAGCCCTTGGACATGGATGTATACAGCAAGTGCTGAGCAAATTGGGACTGTGCATTTGGCCTCATCACAAATTATGATCAAAGTAGTGGTTTTCATGGTTGAGTCCTTGATATGATCACACACTTTCCTATACACACTATTAAAAACCTCCACTTATTTGCATGCCCATCCAATAACAAATATATGTATATACATAAATGCACATATATACCAACATCAAATATACATAAACATACGAGCAGAATCAAAGGGAAAATAATGTTTTGCTGACATTTTTATTTGTAGGCAACTTCACATACTAAAAGCTAAAGAGCTTCCAGATTTAAATCTTTCATTAGGTTCAGAAGAAGGTTTGAATTAGGGAGCAACGCTAAATATAGATTATACTTTTTAAAAAGTAATAAGTCGTGCTATGTCACTTAACTGCTAGAATTCCGAGGAACAGCCTAGAAAAAGATTCAGAGAACTGAGAGACAAGAAATCCATATGACACTTGGTAACCTTGGCCCAAACCATACCTACACCAAGTTCATTTAAGATGCAAATATCCAAAACAAATCTTCAAAAATTTCAGTTGCTCTGTGAAGTTCATTCTGCAGCTACACTTCTTGTAATTTATTTTGGCTTTTTATCAGACTTGATATTTGCAACAGACTATTCCAAGGCACTGATGTCCAAGGAGAAGCAGAAATACAACCTGTAATTTTCCTGCAGCTTCAGACATCCTGTACTAGTACCAGAGGGAAGCAACTCGCATCTGCTCTGCTGAGGAAAACTCTCTCCAGTTCAACAGCAAAACCAGGAATTCCAACAGTATCTACACACACAGTTTAAAGCACTGTCTGGACAATTTCCATTTCGCCTTTCCTAAGTGCTCTATCTGCTTTTTTTCATTATGATCAAAACTTGTCCTGGATGAAAGTGTGACAGAAACAGCGAGTGGCCCTTGTTGTCAGGGCACATCACATCCTTTCTGAAAGATGAAAAGATCGTTCTGAAAGAACAGTCCCCTACAGACAAGTTCTCAAGTGTAACCACTAACTTTGCGGTTTGATTTTGAGTCCTTCTTGGGATGTTCGTAATTATCTTCACACCCGTGTGATTCCACTATCTGAAAACCGGGTCCTTTCGAGAAGGAAGCTTTGGTCCCGTAGTTCTCCGAGTAACATGCACGTTCTCCTCAAAATCTAGGTAGGCTGCTGGAAGAAAGGCACCTCGGTGCATCCAACAGTCCTGTGTTACAGCTGGTCTCAGCTAATCTTGGAGGCTGAATGGCCTGTATAAGTACTTGACTCTAGTAATATGATCAAAATTAGCAAAATCCATCTACTTAAACAGTTTAAATTAGAACAAAGAGAACAAACAATCACAGAATTATTCAGGCTGGTAGCGTTCCTCTAGTTGAATAAATCCTACACATTTGACTCCTGCGCTAAAAACATTTATCCCACTCCAGAAAGTATTTGAAAACAAAGTATGTCTAAATTAGATACGTGATTAAGAGGTTTGAGTTAGGAAACAGAAAGTCCAGGACAGCCTGCCATGCTGCAACTTTGAACCAGTCCTTTGCACCAGGAAGTTAAAACATTTCACAGCTGTTAGAGTTGGATCTTGCGACAATCTTTTAAGAATTGATTTACTAAGCTTCTCTGTGAAAAAGACAAAAGCCTGCCTCCCACTCTGTCCAGTGGTCATTACAGCAGTAATGAGCAAAATCTGAGCATTTTGTAATACATAAATTCAGAATTTTACATGCTTAACTACTTTTATGGCTTAAGTAAAACTTCCAGAGACGCTTGAGTGACTTGGAAGCTCAAATCAGCAACGCACTAAAGACGCTGCAGACACTAGTTCTACATTTAAGTATTTAAGACTCAACAGACCTGAAACATAAGCTCTCTGCTGAGAAACTGAACATTTTCCTCCCACTATTGTTGTTCAGTAATGATGAGAGACACAAGCACATTAAGGCTTTTATCTTCGCTTTGACTCTTCCCCCTCAGTTTCTGCTGTGGATAAACCAAGACAGCGGATAACTATGTTGGTTTATTCCAGAGCTGGAAGGAGAACCCACAAGTTCGACACCCCCTGCTCACCCTCAGACCACACTAGCTCTAACACTTAGTTACCCTGACAGCATTTTAGGCCAAAATAAATAGAAAATGGTGTCTTCTTACAGACAGCCATTCTGCATTCTTTGCACAAGGGAAGAGAAGCTGGGGGCGGCCACAGTCTCCTAAGGATAATTAACTCGGCCAAGGCTGCGCTCTGGGACATCTGCTTTCTGTATTCCTTGGCTGGCAGAGACAGAAAGGCCAAGGGTCACCTTCTCCCGAGAGCTCGAGTGCTCCAAGTGACCAAGACCTGGGCCCCAGTGCGTGCTGCCTGCAGCCTGCTCCCCTCTGCTTCCCTTTGATTTCAGGAATTTGGTTGTGAAGCGAAAGCATCTCAAATAAGAAAAATGTGAGCTAACAGTCAGCTCCCCCAGGAACGGGCTGGCTGGGTTAAAATAAAGAGGTCAGCCTATCCCCA